ATGAAGACATCGAAGTCGAAGTCACTTACGGCCCGCTTTAAACCGCGGATTTGTCCGTGTGGACGCCTTTTGTTATCAAGGAAACCCAATGCCGTTTCGCGTATCGAGTTGAAACGCCTAGTCACCACGGCATTGACATCGCTGCAGGAGCTAGACAGCCTACTAAATGTTGCACCCGTGCAAGGGCGGCAGCATGTCGACGATGAAGGAGAGCGAGGTGGCAACCTCACTCTATTCGACTAGTTTCTAAAATTCCTCTAAACAAAAATCCTCCAGAAAGTTGTTTTTGTATAAACTCACTGAATTTATCTACTGAAGTATGAAATGAAATTGAAGTGTAAAAAGCTACAATTTTAGATATAAGCGCGACCGTCGTACAGCACGGACGTGCCTTTGAGTCATTTTAAGTCTCAACTCGATTTAATTATAGAATTTCGTACATTTGTACCTCTTTATTTGAAGTCATTAAATATTTTATCCAAAGAAAATCTAACTCTTTTATTCCTCGTTCCGACCGAAATCTCCCTTTAATATAGCGGCGCTATATTAAACACTCCATATAAAATAATTTTGGACTCATCCGTCCACAAAATGTTCCTCCACTTTTGAATGGGCCATTCCAAATGTAGTTTGGCAAAATCGATTCTGTGTGCCACATGATTTTTTTTTTCAAAAGGGGGACCTTGCGTGGACTTCGTGCATTAAGATTGTGTTCACGCAACCGTCTTCTTATATATAGTATGGACACTACAGGATAAGTTGAAACTATCTAAAATTTCCACAGCTGACATTGTTGGTCGCGACTTCGAACATTTGATAATTTGACGTACGGTAATCGTTGATAGTTTCCGTTTGGCACCCCTTTTTTCAGGTTTGCTTTTATAAGTTATTGCGTTCCGAATCATTGTTGATGAACAGCGATTGATTTCTTCCACTTCCTTGTAAGTTTTACCACTTTCAACCAGTTTTTTTTTATCATTTCACGTTTTTCGTGAGTACAGTGTACACCTCGTCCCACTGAAGATTATTAAGAAGTGGTTATGGTTTTTATGTTACACATAAAGTAAATATAGCACTAAAACTTACTATTTTTTCAAAAAAAATCAATTATTTCTACGTGAAATAAAAAATTAAGTTCGTCTTTGCTCTTGACTACTATTTCACTGCTCGCTCAAAATTGCCATTTCTTCAAGCTTACTAATACAAAAAATTAAATGTAAAAGTTAACTTGTTTAAAATTTGCGTAGTGATGGGTCATAGACTAAAGATGATAATTAAAAAAAAATCGGTATCATTATCGCATAGGTTGCAAAATATATTGTATATTGTATTTTACAACGGAGCACTACTATATCAGTGCTCGCAACTGTATATAAGGCGACTGTTGGTTCAACTTGGTGTTTTACAATGAGACTGCTCACAAAATTGCAATGTTTGTGGGCAAAACGTTGCGATTGGTCGGCTTTCGTCTTCCCCTCGCCGCTCCCATCCACACACAAATTATTCAATTTCTGGGAATCGACACCAGATTGGCACGTGCGCGAAAATATTAACCCTCCGTTTGCCAAATATTTAGTTTTTCGCATAAGTTTGCATTTAATAAAGCAATACTCGTACATTTTGTATGGAGAATAATATTAATTAATTTAAAATTCTGCATGTAACCATGTTCTCGACGATATATGTAACTTTCATAAAGATTAACCATAAAAATTGTGCTTCATTAACCGTTGCAACCAGCTGAAACCAAAAAAACTATGTCCGCTAAATGGGTTAAAGACCAACTGGAATTGACATTTTTTACACGCATACACATGATTCAATAATACAAGGTTAGATAATTATTGACAGCTGCGGTTTGACACTCCCTTACAAAAGGTTGCATTTACGAAGGACAGAGAAAGGGCAAGAATGCAATCCCTTGTTTCGAAAATGGTAGTAGAAAAGTACGCAAAGTAGGCAGTTAGTAGTGAAATTCCTTTCGTAAATTCCAATCTATTTGCAGGAAATCTGGCATTTTAAACGAAATGTTGAACGTAATATTGATATATCTACGTGAATTACGTAATTTATATGCTATTTAGCCGTATAAAAACTGCAAAATGACTCAAAATTAAAATAAGACTACTATGAGATTGATGTAAACATCCAATGCTTATGTTTTCATCAGTTAAATATGCTTCATATGCATATACAAATAAACATATTGCACAAAAGCTTATACTTTTATTTCACACCAAAGCTACACTGGGTCCATGTAAATTTGCAAAGAAGCAACACGGTGCCACTGCTAAGGGAGCGGTGCGAGAGAGACAACTGTCAGTTTATCGAACCTTGTATTATTGAATCATGACGCATACATGCATACATTCATATACACATGTACAGTGGAGTAGCACTAGGTTGAACAATGCATTGCTTGTACTTTGATGTGTTTGAATCTTTTATGGTACTGAAGATTTGCTTAGGGATGAAAAATATTAAAAATCGTTCGTGCATATATGTAAATATATTTTTATAAACGCTTGGAAGTATAGAAATTTTTAATATTAAAAAATAAATAAAATAATTTTTTTGTATATATATAAATTTTGTTCAAGGCACATTGACCCACCTGTACAAAAATTGTGGCGCGGCATGGACAAAAATTCTACAATTTCGGACCGAAAAATATGAAAACGAGCTAAGTTGCCACGTTACATCTGTGAACTTCCGATAAAACCACATATGTTTGTGATTTTACAAGTTTTGATTTTATTTAAAAAAAATTAATGTATTTTGCTGCAGAAAACATACACTTTTATTTAATGTTTATTAAAATGACACTTTAAAATACTAGTTAATGATTGAAATATTGGTATGGAACAGAGAAATAGAGTGTTTTGTCAAAAATTACCAAAAATTACCAAAAATTGCCAAGATTCGAGATAACTTATTTTACTGGATATAGGGAAATAATTGCCAATTTTCACTTGGCTGGCCGAGATTTCTTCATTTTAAGATTTTAGAATTTTTGTGTCGGATTGACAAAGTTGCGCTTGTTGGTGATGAATTTGCGGGGAGATGTGCTGCGGTTGTTTTTATGAATGAATTTACTTGGCCTTGAGAAATATGCGCATGCGTTTATGAATGAAATAGTTATTGTTGTATTTGAGTATACGTGTAATTATGTGCATATATATGTATGTATGCTGCCGTGATTTGTACATATTTACATTTATATGCATGTTCGTAGTTTTTTTGGCAGTAATATGCATATGCGAAAGCCGACCAATCGCACATTTGTATGTACATATATATGTTACATACATACATTACATATCTACATATTTACAAATGAATGTGTACATACGTACATATTTATGCGTTTGGCTTTTTGCATGAATAGAAAATTTGATTGCAGAAATAATTATATATGTGTATGTGCATAAGTAAATATATACATACATACATACATATGTTTCATTAAATTGTAATGAAATAGTTTTATTGAAAAAGTTCCACTTTACATGACTTTAGATAATTGCGGAAAAAAGTCGAAAAAATTGACTTAGAAAATCTCATCAACATAGCTGAAACAGAAAAATTCATACATGTTTGCAAAAATGAATTTGCAACCAGCAAATCGATTTCACGCAAATATATTTTCGGCAAACAAGCAAATGTACAAAAGCCCGCTCCTTTCCCCGTTTCCCCGCTTCTTTTGTACACTTGTCGTTCCGACTACCATTTTTATTTTAGAGTTTGTTTTGATCCGACACAAGCACGCGCCTGCCTCCGCAAGCACCCCCTCTGCCCTATGCTTATTAGATTTTTGTTCCTCTTTCCATTTTGTTCTTATTTTTTCATTTTGCTTTGAACTGCTCGAAGTGTGGTGGGACGGAAAAATTTTTGGTATGGTGGCAGCCGACACTTCTCTACCGACACCGTCGGTCAAGTGGTGCACTCGTCGACGTTAGGTATATTTGGCCGACTGCACCCCAAAATTTCTGGCAGAAATTAGTTCACAGAGAAAATGCGCCTTCTCAGTTATAAACGTTCTCTGATACCGCCCTTATTAATTTTCTGATATACATATAATTTATTTATTCATTTTCCGGTAACACCACCTTATATGAATTCGCGCTTCAAGCATCCATAGGAACGGGTTGTAATGGAAGTAATTGTATGTTTAACAAATAAATGAAAATGTTCAAAATGCAATCAATAGATCCCTACGAATTCGCCATTACCAAGGCACTTAGTAACGTACGCACTTTTGTTTGCAAAATGCATTTATATAAGTTGAAAGAAGACAAATTCCTTTGTTCGGCATTTATTCTTACTCGTTTTCTATCTTCCTAGGAGAATTCATATATTCTTATCACGAATTCATATATTCATGTGGTAGCAAGAGTATAAAAACATAAAATTACCTTATAAATTAAAAGTATAAGTATCACATGTATGCGTAGTCCAATTCACGAAATCATTACATCGATCTGAGTAAAAACTAAGTGCGTGAACTCTATTTCGCGTTAATTGAAATCATGAAATGGTGTTCATTCATTCAGTTTCTACTCAAACGCATGAAATGATTTCATGAATTGGCTTACGCATAATGGAAGTAAATGACAGAATGAAGAACACATAATTTTGACATAATGCAAGCACAAAACGTTGGTTCAAATCAATCCACAATCAAGTTGG